GATAAAAGACCCTAGAGTCTTACGGCAGAGTACAAGGTGCTCTGGCGTCTTGTCGCACCCACACGAGCAGGTGAGCTTTGCGTTAGTGTGGTTAAGCCATTGATGGTACCAGGCAAAGTCTCCGTGCCTAGATCGGATAGAGAGGAGCTTGGCTAGGATAGCTCTTGGCAGGTCTAGTTCGGCTGAACTCCTGCGTGGTGCGTAGTCTAGCTTCCAGCCTTTGTACCACTTAGAGAGTGTTCTCCTCTTGTCTGACCACCATTTTTGTTGTGTGCTAATTAGGAGTTGTCGTGCGGTAGTGTCTCGTACGCGCTGAGAGTACTTGCGCTTTAACAGCGAGAAGCAGACTACATCAAGCGGCTGGAGGATGTGCGATGAGTGAGGTGGCATGCAGAGGGTAAGGATCATGTTTTTAAGGCAGTAGTCCTTAAAATCCTGGTTGAGGTGGCTCTCATGGCCGTCCAAAATGAGCAGCCTGTACGCCCCCACCTGGCTCGCCTTTGTATGCGCGTCGAAGTGCTTCAGCCACTCAAGGCCGAGCGCGTTGTTCGTCCAGCCGCTCTCGGAGACGGAGAGCTTCCAATTGCGTGGTATATCTGCCTCCTCGTACCAGGCAGAGATGTGAACGCGTCCTTTGTAGATGATGAAAGGCAGGGTACAAGATCCAGCAGCGCAGACGCTCTGGATGACTGTTACCCACTCGCGATCACCTGGCTGAACAAGCTGAGGTCGATTACGTCTCTCTGCGCCTGTGACAACCTTTATTAAGCCAATAACACCTATCTAGAAGCTAGTCTTGTTAAAGTTGTGCACGTTGTGGTTGTGTACGCTGTATTTAGCTTTTGTGTCCTCTACTAGCTTAAACCACGCGCTGATTGTCTCTGGATCCTCCTGCAGCATCCTCTGCCTATCTTTGGCTCGATTGAAGGCCATCTTGAGCGTAGCTGAACGCGTCACGAAGCGCTCAGCCTAGTGCTTGCCAACAGGCTGCCCACCGCGTACACCCAACAGTTTGTCGGCCATATCTGCCACCTCGCACAGCTGGGGCGCGAATCCTCGCGAATTGAGGTCAAGAATGTATTGTACGATCGTTTGCTCTTCAGTGCGCGTGAGCTTATGTTGTGCGTTACGTCTATTGTTAATATAGAGTCTGCCTCTATACCTAGCACTTAAGGTTGTACGCAGTACGTTAAATGCCTAAGCAGCGCTTTAGAGGCTTTTAAATTTATGTAATTAGAAAGTAGAAAGGGCAAGATTAATTCTACCCTCTTGTTTAGATAATTGCGCATCTTGTTAGTAAGGCATTACGTGTTAATATTAATAGTTGTGGTCTTGGCAAGAAATGGCCCGGGTGCTGGGTTGGCCCGGGTGCTGGGGGTTTACGTTAACCTTTTCACTCTCAACGGCCTGGTACAACGCTACCGAGTGTTATTGGCGGTCGAACGAACTTTCCTGCAGACATGCTGCTGTTCGTGCAGCGCAATATCTCCCGTTCCAGAGCTTGTAATGGGGTGGTCAGAACTCAGCTGCGGTCACGTTGGCAGCATCGAGATCAAGAGAGACCAGACGTGATGGAAATTGTAATCGAACGAGGTGTGACTTGAGCTCTGCGATTGCAAAATTGACCCCTCCCCCCCCTCCCAGCCGTGTCTTCGATCATTGCTGGGTCTGATGTGGATAAAGAATGAGAGCATGCGAAAACATACCGAAAAGAAACCACTCACTGACAAAAACAATCTGCGAGCACAGCACTGGCCCACGGCGTTCGAGACATGACTAAGTTCTCATGTCACTTGTTTGCAGTCCCAATGCCTGCGTCATGTCTCGCTGAGATCAGTTCTCTGTCAGCACGTACACTGTACCGCGCCTTGTAGCTGTCGGTTGTGCTGAGCTCCAACTATCGTCCGAATCTATTGGTGACAACTCTTCATCGACCGCGAGGCAATGGATGAAGGCTCGCACTGTAGTGTACAGTGTCTAATGTGTACACCGTACGCCCACTCTTCCAGGCACCCCTTCACATCCTTCCGGGTGTTGTAGTGTGGACGGCGCTATCGTTGCATCTGCATCCTCAGCGAAGGAGCAGCGATGCGGCAGAGGATCGTATCTCGTGAACAGTGTAGTATCGACATGCGGCCTTTTGAGCACGATTTGGACAGCGGCTAATTTCGCCTGCGATGGACGAAGACGGATAGCGGACGGATACGCAGACGTGCGGATCGTACAATCACACAAAGAAAGAATATAAGACGAGCACAACTCCCCTCTTCGATGCAAGTCAACTTAGGCATTCCCAAGAAGTGAGTGTTGCAAATCGTGAGTCAAACCGCGAGTTATATCCATCTCCTCCGTTCTTTCGCTCTCGGATTCAGACATCCCTTCTCTGATTCTACGCTCCGAACGACCATCTCCTCCCTGTCTGACGATGTACTGCGAATTGCTCGACATGGTAGCAATTGGCTGTGCTTCGGTGGGAGGGTTTCGAGATACTCGGCGCGACAAAACAAACCAGGCCAAACGAAGCGCATTAAGGCACCATCTGTATGGGGGAGTATGCTTCGACGGCGTCGTTGTCAATATTTGTCGAGAGAAAGCCACCGACACTTATCTCTCGGAGGCCGACGTCCGTTGCCATGCCTTGGACCTCCGCATACCCGTCCTTCCAATATTTACATCAGACTCCATCATGCAAGCCAGACTACATGGAGATGTTTGCCCGCGCGCTATTGGAGGAAGATTGCTTGTTTCATGTATGAAACTGGCAGTTATCCCTGGCTAGAGCAAAGTTAGTGTTCCTTTGCCGCGGACCCACTCAGCCTAGCCTCGCTTGCGTGCATTACCGTTGCACAGGCGATTCGAGATCTTGACTCTGACAAGCACTGAATCGACAACCAAGACCAGGTTGCGGGGCGGCAACATCAAAGGAACACGCAGGTCAGCAGAACGTGGCTTTCGGACTGGCGTTCCCATGCCTCCCGTCTCGGTGTTGAAGACTGTGGCTTGCGGATGGACAATGACTCATCAACATTAACGCATCAAGAAACACTTTGTCCGTTCATCACCTCATCCAAACCAACACAGCACGATCGAAACTCGACGTATAACAGCCGCCCTACGTAACGTGGCGCGCCCTTGGCAATGTATTTGGCGGAAACAAATACCGTCTTGGCTACTTCGACGTGCCGCTGAAAGATTAAGAAGGGGCTTTGACATGCATGTTTCATACACTCGCTAACGAGATCGAACCACATCATGCCTGCCATGTGAGTCTCTTCTGCCGGGAACGTGGCGTAGCTACCGTACCGTGCAGGGTATTGCTTGTCATACTCCACGAGCACATTCCGAGGTTTCGTTTTGACGCCCAGCCTGCAGACACGGGACACTCTCGGATCCTTAATGTCGCTTGTCTACGTCAAAGTGGGATTGTAGGATGGAGCTTCAGGGATCGCGCAGTAGGTGAACGCCGCTTGCGCGCGGCACGAATCGTTGTGTACTGGGCTCTCATCTTAGACAGCTTGGGAGTGAGTGCGGCTTGAATATAAGGACGAAAAGGTACCCCCATTTTGAACCTCATCGCTACAGTTCAGTACTTCTCTTCCCACCTTCATTCATTCATTCCAAGTCCGCTAGTCGGCTCCACATTCTTTTCAGAACTCACCATCGTTTGCAACGACAACCTTCACAAAACTCTCAAACTCCTTTTCGAAGACCCCAAACCAATCCATCAACATGCTTTCCAAGATCGCTACCCTCGCCGCCTTCGCCGTTGGCGCCCTTGCCCACGGCACTGTCAACGGTGTCACCATCGATGGCAAGTTCGAGCAGGGTTTCCTCCTCGACTACTACTATTCCAGCCAGAACGGCCAGACCCCCGCTGAGCACATTGGTTGGTACGCCGAGAACCTCGACAACGGCTTCATCGAGCCCAACTCCTTCGGCGAGGCCGACGTCATCTGCCACAAGGCGGGTTCCCCCAAGCTCTCCAGCGACACCATGGCCAAGGTCGCTGCCGGCGGCACAGTCGAGTTCCACTGGACTACCTGGCCCGAGTCCCACATGGGTCCCGTCATCACCTATGTCGCCCCTTACACTGGCGATGTCACTGCCGTCGACAAGACCTCGCTCAAGTGGACCAAGATCCAGGCTGACGGTTACGCCGATGGCCAGTGGGCTGCCATCAAGATGATCGGCCAGAACAACACATGGCCCGTCACCGTCCCTGCGTCTCTTGCCGCTGGCAAGTACGTCTTCCGCCACGAGATCATTGCTCTCCACGGTGCTAGCGACGTCAATGGCGCCCAGGCCTACCCCCAGTGCGTGAACATTGAGGTATTTTACTCCACTGCAGCCTTTCCCACGAACCAGACTAACATTCACTAGGTTACCGGCTCCGGAACTGACACCCCCGAGGGTGTTGTTGGTACCAGCCTCTACACTGCTACGGAGGACGGCATTGTTTTCAACCCGTACGCCGCCACCATCGACTACAACATCCCCGGCCCTGCTCTGTGGACCGGCGGATCCGGCTCAGGTTCCTCCCCCGCCCCTACCACACCTAGCAACGGCACCTCCAGCGCGGCCCCTACTGTCACTGCTACCCCCACTGCTCCTGCATCTTCCGCTGTTGCCTCTGCTCCTGCTGCTACTTCCGTCGCTGCTGAGGCTACCCCTACTTCCAGCTCCGCACCCGCTCCTTCCAGCGGCGCTGAGCTCCCCAAGACCTTCACCATCGAGACTTTCATTGCCTGGCTCGAGCAGACTGCGGGCTCGTCCAGTAACACGAAGGCTCGCCGCCATGCCCGCGCTCTCTTCTTCTAGATGTTTCCTTTAGACGTCTAGGTGGGGGCGGGCATTATTGATGCTTCTTCGAGGTCTTTTTGGAGAGTATACTGTGTCGTCGTACGATGGTCACGTCTTTCTTTCTCTGTGTATAGCTCTTACACCTTTTGTAGCATAGCGCCTTTTGGGGACTAGAATTGACTCTGTCCAAAACCTCTTTTATACGCATGTTTCACCGTGACCGATCGTTTTATTTAATAGCTACACACTGACCATACTGACATTCGCAACCGTGAGTTGCCCGCCGCTAACATGGTCCCTGATCGCGCTGTTCTGACTTGCATTAAGCTGCGCCCTACAAACTGTGTGAACCCAGCAGAAAGCTTAGCCTTTGCTCCCATCTCAAAGTAAGGAACCCCGACGACCTATAAGACAATAGACTTCCAGGCTCGCACAACGAAGCTCATCTGTGTAGTACAGGCATCATTCCTTTTAAAAGCAGCCACTAATTTTTGCCATCCATAATGCTAGCTCTTTTTCTGGTATCTGACCAGCCTCTTAATATAAGTAGATCCATGATATTGTTTCAGCTCATCAACTGCAATCAAATTGATGCAGTTCAACAGAGCTGTTCTGAGCTACTCGGGGGTAGTAGCATCATTAGTCTGTTAGCTCTGGAGGTATTTGTCGAGTGACAAGTAAAGTGGGCGTACAGGCAGACCCGTGATCCCAAGTTGCGTTTTGGACCCGATTTCTCGAGCGACTATTTCGTACACACTGCCTATCGTAACAATTATGTCCTGGTTATCGACCATGATCGGCTGATCGGAAAAGTACTCTGGAGGCAGCTTTCGAGTCTCATGTAGCAGGTCTTCCACAAACACTGGCAGGGCCTTTTGTAAAGTATCTGCAACTTCGAAACAACCGGCGAGACTGTCGCAAAGCGGACAAGTCATGCGAGAGTCAGATTTGTCCTTCATGTCGTAGTGCATCGTTCTGCACGAGTGACATACTCAATGTCTGCAAGAAAGGAGCAGCACAGATTTGATTCGAGAAAGACACGGATTACCAAGTTTGTACGCTATAACATTGCAGTACTCACAATACTCAAAGCTGCGTTCCGGCCCCGCCCGGAAAACACTTGTGACACGGTTTATGGATGACGAAAGTAGCATGCTTCGCCAGAGATCGAAGGTATCGGTGCCATATCCGTAGCATTGAGCATATCCATTGAAGGCGGGAATTTTTGCTTGATATCGGCTGGAAATATTGCAAACAGACTTGGGAGTCGTTGTGAGCAAATGTGCCAGTCATACTTGGTATAGCGAAGGGATCTGGCTCATCCGGACCCCATCATAGATGGAGTTCATCCGGATCTTCGTCACTAACGGCCCTCTGCAGCCATTCTGCGTCGGATATCTCCTGATGAGCATTTGGAGACGCGGAGTCCAGGGACCCGTTGCGACGAACGCGAAACGATGCAGATATTGGAAACAAGCCCTCATTGTCAGGCAAAGCCGGTGATAACCATATGAGTCGTGAATCACCGAGAATATTCTTTGCGAATCCTTTATTGAGAATTGGCAGCTTTAAAACAGGCGTCTTGTCAGTCTGACATTCCAGAGGTAGAGTGTTGTGACCATTGATCGAGGCATTGAATTGGATCTTTCCCATGTTGAAATACTTGTGAGACCTGTTTGATGAGAACCCATCGAATTTGACATTCCTACCTTCGTTTGTCTAACCTCAGTCTCTGGCAGCCAGAGCTCAGTCTTCTACTCAAATGGCTCGGATACACACTTGTTGCGGTCGTTATCATCGGTTATCTGTGACTGCCCATTCTGCTCCGACGATGCCCCAGTTTTCCTCAGTGGAGGCTGTTTTTGTGAGGGTGTACCATCCCGGAAGCCGCCGCCGATCTCAGGGCGATACAGTTTACGCTTCTTGACCTATCCAGGCTGCTCGTTATCACGTCTCACACGATCTTGATATGATGAGTTGGCGTGATGTGATGTACTGGCCGGACGTGACGTACTGTAATGATGTTCTCGTACTTGGCTCACCTCCTCTTCGGGCGCCTTTACTATTCTCTGTCTGAACTGTTTGGACAGCGGCACATCAGCTCCGAAATGTTGCGCTCTTCGAGTCTGTAGATCCTTAATACAGCGAGGGTGACCTGAGTCTGAGCGAGATTGGGATGGTAGAGGCCATTTATGGTCGTGTTTGGTTACAGGTGTGTCCGTCGGTGAACTCGGCCGAGAGTAAAGTTGGTGTTCTGAGGCTCTGCCTGGATTACTGAGAGCAACTCCCACCCCCTTAGCTGTGGCGGGTCTGAGGTGTACGAGCGCGATGCAAGCTCGTTGCGAGGACTGCTAGTTGTGGCCTAGTCAGCGGCACTGTTCGATGAGCCGACGGTAGTGGTAGGTGAGGATGGCGAAAGAGGGCATGGCATTGCTGCATGTTGCGTAGCATGATTGATGGCAGGCTTGTCGAGTCGGGCGTGTGCGTCAAAGCCGGGGTCAAGATAGGCGGCTCGAACCAGGTATCCGAGCATGCTTTGGCACGGGCCGTCATGCCATCGACCGAGACTGGTATCGATTTCGAGCTAGCAATGCTCCATCTGACGACCTTTCCGGTTCTTTTTCGACCAAGTCCATCGTCGACGGCGTCAACAGGTCTGATAGACAGATCCTCGTCGAGTAGTACTCCCATGTC